CAAACCAGATTTAAAAGCCAAATAACAAAGTTTATAGAATATACTGCAAAGAAAGGGATTTTAAACTTTTATGTATTTAATGTTTGTGTGCTGAAAAGAATATATCTACTCATACATGTATAGTTATATATACAAAATTGGCACAACAATATTCTCTTCAAATTAATGAAAATTGAGAGCTTTTTAACTAAAAATTCATTATTTGAAACTATGCAGCTCTTGAAATTCAGCTTTAGCAAGTCAATGTGGTGTGGACTGTAGACTGGCAATTCTAAGTATTTATTGTGCTTGATATTCATGAATACATAGAAGTGAAAGAGAAAAGAATAGCTTTCTATCCTTGTGCCTCCTTTGTTTACAATTTGAAACTGATGTTGAGTTAAATTAAATGTTTGACTGAAACCCTTGTTTTTCTGTTTCTTTTTAAACATGATTAAAAGTGTCTTTCTTTATAATCAACAAAATCAATTCTTCAGGATTTGTGGCAGTGGATGTTGTAAGATGCTACCAGGAGATCCTTTCAGGTCTGGTCGCACCTGTTGGAAGTGATGGTGAAAGCCTCAGCTTCTCCCTCCTGGAATCACCCTCAGTGGTACAGAGCTGACTTGGCCCCTGCTACACATGCTGATGGGGTAGGGAGTAAAGGCGGGTCTGCATCCACTGACTAGTCTATGTGCGGGAATACGGGTCTGCTCACCCCCTCCGCCCCAGGGTGCCATAACTCCTAAGGGCCATGTGAGTTTCAGAGATCCCTGTGGAATCATAATGTTGTATTTGCCCTGCAGCTCAATTTCTCCCTCTGCCCAACCTATTGCCTTTATTCCTCCACCTGATATCCTAGTATCCTTAGCATATTGTTCCTAAGGACACCCCTCAATACGCTGGCTGCATGTATGGCTCCATCCCACAGAATTTCATGGAGAATCCACTTAAGATGAAGAGAAAATCTTTTTAGACATTCTCAGAGAGGAAAGATTAATGTCAAACATTTTAATAATCTTCACTGGGAATTTTTGTAACAGTTTTAATTCAAAAACTCATTAAACATCTGTGATATTCTAAGCATTGTACTAAGCATGAGAAATATAAAGTTAAGTACAATAGAATTCTTGATCTTATGGAACTCACTGGCATGAAACACAGATTTTACAAGTGAATATAATTCAAGTAAGACAAGTCCTGTGTTAGTAGTACAGACAAACTGCTCTGAAAGTGTTGAGAAAGGAATGTCCAGCCTCGTCCACCTGTGAGGCAGGAATGGCTTCACTAAAGACATTTGAAAGAAATCCTTGAAAAAGCTTAGCCCTTTCAAGTCATCCATTCCCCTCTTTCTCTCACATCACATATCCAAGGTCTCAACAAAGTTGTTATCTCTACTTTTAAATATATAGGAAATCCTGGCCTCACTGTCTCCACTGCTTTCATTCAACACTGGCCTAACACCTCTCACAGCTGTAGCCTCATCGCTGGTCTTCCTGCTTCTCCCCTTGCCCATCATGGTCCATTCTCAACACAGCAGCCAGGTGACTCTGCCAATGGAAGTCAGGCCATGAGTTCCTCTGCTGCAAGGATTCCAAAGTGTTCCCAACTTATCCTCAAAACCAGATACGGGCCAGGTGTGGTGGCTCACGCCTGTAATCCCAATTCTTCGGGAGGCTGCAGTGGGTGAAATCGCTTGCGCACAGGAATTTCAGATAAGCCTGGGTGACACGGTGAAACTACATGTTTACAAAAAATACAAAAATGTATCTGGGCATGGTGGTACATGCCTGTAGTCCCAGCTACCTGGGAGGCCGGGATGGGAGAATCACCTGAGTCTGGGACATCAAGGCTGCAATGAGCTGTGATTGTACCACTGCACTCTAACCTGGTGACAGAAGGAGACGCCATCTCAAAAAACAAACAAACAAAACCAAAGATATTTCAGCACCTACAGAACCCTATGCCATCTCCACTCACCCCTCCCGTCCTTAGCCCAGGCCTTACCTTTCTCACTGCATCTGGGGATGTCCTCTTACTCCCTCACTCTTCTAGCCACTCTGGCTTCACTGCTGTCCTTGGGACCCTCCAGCACACTCCTGCCTCAGGGTCTTTGTGCCAGCCGCAGTCCCCGCTGTCTGATTCCCTCCTGCCCCTCCTTCAGGTCTATGCAACTGTCAACTTCCTCAGCAAACCTTCCTGACCACATTCTCCCAACTCTACAAATTCTCTTTTCCTGCTTTTTTTTTCTTCATGGCACTTGCCATCTGCTCTAGACCTGATGATCATTCATTTTATGTAGAGTTTGCCTTTCCTCACCACAACATGAGCTCCATGAGGGCAAGGATGGTTACATGTTTTGTTTCTAGTACCAACCCCTATATCCACAATTGTCCCAAGAACAGAGTAAATCTTGATTTTGTATTTGTGTGTGTATATATATAAACATGTGTATGTACATATCTACATATGTATATATATACACACACATATATACATATGTGTATATATATACACACATACATACACACACACAAATACACACACGTCCTTACCTTACTACCTTTCACAACATAGATATACACACATTCACATATATATGTTGTGAAAGGTAGTAAGGTAAGGGTGCAATGCTTTAGCATGAAGAGCTGAAAGCCATGGAAGTCAAAGCATATTTAATCTAGTGTAACTACAATGTAGAAATCCTTACATGTCAGAGCTAGAAACATGGGTTGGATATGTAAACCACAAAATGTGGTTGTTATTGGCTGAACTACATCCCACTCTCCCAAATTCTGATGCTCAGCCCTAACCTTCAGTACCTGAGGATGTGATTATATTGGGTTACAAGGCTTTTGAAGCTTCATTTTAAGTTAAAATGAAGCTGCTGGTGTGGGCCTAATCCAATCTGACTGGGGTCCTTATAAGAAGGGAAATTCGGACACACAGAGAGATGCCAGGGATACACACACACAGAGGAAAGACCACGTGAAGACACAGTGAGAAAGAGGCCACCGGCAAGCCAAGAAGAGCAGCCTCAGGAGAACCCAAACCTGCTGACACCTTGAGAGCACGCTTCCAGCCTTCAGAACTGTAGAAAATAAATTTCTGTTCTTTAAGCCATCCAATCCAATCTGTTGTATTTTGTTACAGGAGCCTTAGAAAACTAATTCAATGGTATATACCATTGTAAGGCATTTTGACTATCTCACTTGTCACTATAAAATTTGGGAGGCGAGATGAGAGGCGTATTCATCTGTTTTCATGCTGCTAATAAAGACATACCCCAGATTGGGTAATTTATAAAGGAAAGAGGTTTAATGGACTCACAGTTCCACATGGCTAGGGAGGTCTCATAATCATGGTGGAAGGTGAAAAAAGAGCAAAGGAACATCTCACATGGTGGCAGGCAAAAGGGCATGTACAGGGGAATTCCCCTTTATAAAACCATCAGATCTCCTAAGACTTATTCACTATCATGAGAACAGCACAGGAAAAACCCACCCTCATGATTCAATTACCTCCCACTAGTTTACTCCCTCAACACATGGGGATATTTACAATTCGAGGTGAGATTTTGGTGGGGTACAGAGCCACAACTTATCAAGAGGAGACCTGAGTTTTAGAAAGACTGTGTTTGTGGTAACATGGAGGAAGGGCTGGAATAGAGGAAAGGCTTGTGCCGTGGAGACTAAGGGGAAGATCTGCAGTGGTCCAGAGCTAGATGAAAAAGAAAGGGAGGCAGAGACAAGTATAGAATTGGGCGAGGCTTTAGAACCAGGGTAGATGGGACTTAGAGGTAAGTGATATTGGTTTCCAACACAAAATAAAATTAGTAAAATGCAGAGATGTAAAGGTTCAGAAAAGAAAACATGGATTTCAGTGCTTTCTCATATGTGAGAAAATTTCTCAATATGAAACCTTGAGACGGATTACATGGCATCCATGTTGCCCAAGACGGCGAGAATATTTACTGACGAAAGGGCTCTGCAAAGATGCAGGCTCCTTCTCCTATTGGTGATAATATGCACATCAGCATATTAAATAATCTTGAGAAGTTTTGCAATGAAGGAGCTCCTATAACTTTGTCAAAAATGTGTTTCTCACATTTATTTGATTATGGAACCCTTTTTTTGCAAGGTACCTTTTAAGCTCTTCCTGAACTTGTATACACTAGAAATGACCACAATTTGGAAAACAGTGCTGTTTGTGGTCCAATATACTAGAATGGTTCCAAAATAAATAGAGAAGCTTTATCTTGGTAATCTCTGTTTTCATTCGGACAACAACTCAACTTTGTATTAAAGTGGTGGAATAAACTCATTAGAAGAATACACTTGATTTTCCTATAGCCTAAGTCCTAGCATATTTGTTTTTTTAAATCAAAATATTTGGATAGTAGAACACCTCTTTCACATCCATAAAAAACAAACAAACAAACAAAAAAACCTACTCAGTGCCTTGAAACAGAAAATAAACTGAAAACAATTGAACCCATGGACATAGGGAGTAAAAGGATGATCACCAGAGGCGGGGAAGGGTAGCAGCATGGTTTTGTGGGGAGGTGCGGATGATGAATGAGTACAAAAAATAGTTAGAAGGAATAAATAAGACCTACTATTTGATAGCACAACATGGTGGCTATGATCAATAATAATTGTACATTTTAAAATAACTGAAAGAGTATAATTGAATTGTTTATAACACAAAATAAATGCCAGAGGAGATACCTCATTCCCCATGATGTGATTATTATGCATTGCATGCCTGTATCAAACATCTCACGCACCATGTAAATATATACACCTACTATGTACCCACAAAAATTGAAAATTAAAAAAATCAAAAATAAAATGAAATCCTGGTGACCAAAAAGGAATATGTAGCTCAAATGCAGAAATCCGGGAGCAGTTTTTGACCAGGATTTTTGAGCAGGTTTCTTTGGTGCTGGGGTAGTTACAGTATAAACTTTTATGTTCATCACCTTCTCAGACCCAAGGTGTTTATGAACAATGACTCACAGGCAATGCGCACGTACGCCTTCCGGCTCTTTGTGGTGCCCGCTGAGCTCCAGGCCACACACTGGCACCAATAATCTTCAGGTCCAAAGAGTTCTTCCACTTGCTGGCGCGAAATTTCAATGCTCACTTCCCGGACAATAAGACCTGACAAGAGAGAAAGGAAGATTTAAGTCAACACAAGACTCATACTAAAGAAATATAAACCATCACGTCATATTTTCTCCCCATCAACCCTTTTGATGCCACAGATCAACATCCCAGATATTGTCTCTCATGTCTTTTGATTTTTCTTCTCACAGCAGTTATTTTATTCAACAACTTTTTCATTCTCTTATTTGCTATTTCAAATCTTCTGGATTATTCTGAAGATAAAAATGGAATGGCTCTATCACTCCACAAAATAATTTCTTTCCCAATATAGCTCACTACTTTTCACCTCCCTCTCTACATTGAAATATGAACTTGAATTTCACATCTTCTAAGGTTTTTACCTCAATGATATAGGATGTGGGTAAAATAACCATATGTACACAGATTTACAATAGCTAAAAACAACAGTCATTGTGGTGATTATTTAATAACTAAATTACTTTAACAGTTGTGTTTCAGTTAAGTGGTACATTGCTTTTCTTGAAAGATATACTAGCCTTAGTTAACAAACCTCTGGTATTGTAGCCAAAGAATATGGAACTTTAAGGTTTTCATGCATAACATTTTGAAAGTCCCAAAATGTTTCTCTGTAATTGTAATGTACTAAAACCCTGTTAAAGTGGCCTCCAGCTAAAATGCTCAAATACTTGGAATTTATTTCACAGCATTATGTAATCTTGAATAACAAAAAATTGAACTAAGCGTCTGGTATTATCATTTTAGAGGTATTTATCTTGAATTATCAAGGCTGTTTCAGACATTCATTGTTCAATGTGCCTCTTTGCTCTGAGCAAGAGGAGTTCTCTGAACAACATATGTGGACACTGCCAGTTCTCCTGGAGCTTGAACTTGCACCCTTTCCGCACAGTGTCCATTGAGGAAGCCAGCAGAACACCCCTAGGGAAGAGGAGAATTTGCTTTGGGTCAAGTATGGGTACAGTGAGAATAACTAAATATATTGTTTTGCACGATTCATGTGTCCATCCATTCTTTTATTCTTTGAATAAATATTAAGTATCAATTATGTAAAAGATACTGTACCAGCACTTATGAGAGTAATCAGTAAAACAGTCCTTCCCCTCAATGAACTTATATTATTGTGAAGAGGTATCACATTCACAATGCATCATACAACTTATTATTTAGATACAATTGTGTTCAGTGCTGCAAAGGAGAGGTGTAGGGATGAGAGTGAGTAACCAGGAAACCCAGTCTAGCATGAAGGATTCAGTAGGAGTTAGCTTGGTCAAATTATATGGTGAGCAGGAGGGACTCGACATATGGAAAAGGGCAGGAAAGGGAATTAGGAGTTTGAGAATTTAGGTGAAGACAACTGAGCACCACACACAGAGAATAGCAGCATGAGATGAAGCTAGAGACAAGAAAGGGTCTAGTTTATATAGTCATGTAGACCAGTGGTTCTCAAAGTGTGGTCCCCAGAGCAGCTTCATCAGTATCACCTGGGAACCTGCTGCAAACGCACATTCTCAGGCCAAGCCAGCATCACTGAATAGGAATCTCTGGGGTGGGGTCCAGCAGCTCTGTGTTTTGACATGCCTGCCAAGTAATCCCAAAGCATGCTGAATTGAGAGCTGCTCATATCTACAATGTTTAAGATTCTCAGTTTCCTCCAGCCACGGTGGCTCACACTTGTAATCCCAGCACCTTGGGAGGCCAAGGTAGGCAGATCACTTGAGGTCAGGAGTTCGAGACCAGTCCTGCCAACATGGTGAAACCCTGTCTCTATTAAAAATACAAACATTAGCCAGGTGTGGTGGTGCATGCCTGTAATCCCAGCTACTCGGGAGTCTGAGGCAGGAGAATTGCTTGAACCTGGGAGGCCGAGGCTGGAGTGAGCCGAGATTGTACCACTGCACTCTAGTCTGGGCAATGAGTGAGACTCTGTCTCAAAAGAAAAGGGAAAAGAAAAAAAAAAGATTTTCAGTTTCTTCTTAATAGCCATGGATATTACTAAAGTGTTTTAAGCAAGTAGATGACATGATCAGATGAGAATTAAATATATACATATATATGATTTATGAAAGAGATACAGATATGTGTGTAGGTGTATGCGTGCATATATATATATCTGTGTGTATATATTCAATTCTTTATAGTTGTATAAGTTCATAAAAGTTAAAATTTCTTAAACAGTTTGATTATAGGTTACAGGGGAGGGTATATTTTCTGAAATACCTTAAAGCCTGTATTTCAGAACTTTCCTTAAAAAACTTTTCCTCTTGCGGAAAGAAGATTAGTATATTATTTTAGCCAATGTCTAACTAACATAACAATCGCTCAGCAAACATCCCAGGCCATTAACAAATAACACTACTTTGTTCCCTCTTCCCTGGTCCCTGCTCAGGCCTCTCATTTTCCTATCTTATTGTATTTTTTCACATTATTCCGATTCTGGAAATCTATGGGAAAATGGAGCACAACCTCCTTCCCCAGTCCCCATATCTTTCTATCTCTTTCTTTTTTCCCCTCCATTCTCTGGTGCTTAATACTTTTTACCTACTTTATTTATTTATTATTAGTATTATTATTATTTTTTTGAGACAGGGTCTCACTCTGTCACCCAGTCTGGAGTGCAATAGCATGACCTTGACTCATTGCAACCTCTGCCTCCCAGGCTCAAGCAATTCTCCTGCCTCAGCCTCCTGAGTAGCTGGGATTACAGGGGTGCTCCACCACACCTGGCTACTTTTTGTATTTTAAGTATAGATGGGGTTTCACCAGGTTAGCCAGGCTGGCCTCGAACTCCTGACCTCAAATGATCCACACTCCTTGGCCTCCCAAGTGCTGAGATTACAAGCATGAGCCACCACGCCCAGCCTGCTTTATTTATTTATACATTCCCTCTTCATGGAGAAATTCAGTTACTGGAAATAAACCTCTTCCTTTAAGATTACTGCAGTAACTTACTGTCACCAAAGGGCTGATAAATTTGCAATTTGTGTTTCCTTAGAACTATAATGGCTCTTTATAAGATGCAGAGCAGCAACAAATATGCTCAGGATATTAAAACCACATTCAAATATCTGGTGTCCCAAGATGATAACTTCAGGTCTCATTCTCCCCCACTTTTACTTAAAGCAATTACAGGAAGCCTAATTAAATGCTGGAGGAATTCAGTAGGTCCACTGTATCCTTTAGCTCAAATAGGCTCAAGGATGGTTCTACTGACCACAAATCTGAAGCCTTTTAAAAAGCCACAGACCAACTCTGCTGCTACAGGAGTTATTCATAGTCTGAATGTTCTGAATTGTGTGGCTCAGGCTCCCTGTGGGCACCAGAGTCAAGCACACACTGATTTTTGTATTCAGCTTCACAGATGTCCCATTCAGGAGGAGGTGAGCTGTGTACAGTTGTTGTGTTACCATGGCCCAAAGTTTACATTTCAACTTTTGGTCAACAACACAAGAAAAAGAAAGAACTGAAGCATGAAGTATCTAAATACTTAGGGGTCAGAAGAATTCCCTAGAAGCAGTTTCATTATTCAGACTCTGAGCTACGTGGTTACAGGCCATGTTTTCATAACCATAGGTAAGTTTATTACCTATGATAGTTTGTTCATCAAACCAGAGCCTAATGGTTTGGGTAAAAGTAGATAATATCTTTTCCCTTTGAACCTATAATTTCAGATCTGCTTGAAGTCTGGAGATGGAAAAAGCAAACTACCTTGAATTTGAAATGCCATCAGCATTACTTCTAAGGTGCGTTGCTTTGAAGAGCATTTGGGAACTTGAAACTGGTTTCAGGTTATTTAAAGATAGGGGAAATGCTTTGGTCTACAGGACTTACGCAAATACAAATGTGCAGTTTCCATCATACCTGATAACATCAAAGATTTCCCATCACGGTGCTCCCTTTAATAGTGGCATCTCAAGGATGCATGCTGTTTGAAGTTTGCAATGATTTGCTTTTATAATAGGATGCATTGTGGTTTGGGAGCCAGAGTGCAGGAAAGTAATTAGCATGTTATTCCAAGAAGTCTTATGATGAGTATGAGTGTACGCTTGTTAATAAGACATTTCAAATGAATATAGAAATCCAGATTCAAATGCAATCCTCTGATTGGATCTTTGTGAGATATATGGCAATAAGACTTGATAATGACATGACATTTATTTCTTATTTTTAGCATATGTTTAATTTCATAATAGTGGTAAGGCACCACAAATACTGTAGTTCTAGGATACTACTATAAAGTGAGCATGAATACATGCTTAATGCAATTAAATAATTACTTAAAACAATATCTATATTTCCCCAAAATGTAATATACAGTGCTATCAAACAAATTATTAAAGTCTATTAATATCAGATATTATGTTAAGCTACAGAAATGTAAGAATGAATCAGACATTACTCACCCTTAAGCCCTTCATATATATATATATATATATACATATATATATATATATATACATATATATATATATATGTATTTTTAGAAATTAAATTAAATTAATTTATTTTTTGAGACAGAGTCTCACTCTGTTGCCCACGCTGGAGGGTAGTGGCATGATTTCAGCTCATCACAACCCTCCTGAGTTCAAGGGTTCAAGCAATTCTCCTGTCTCAGCCTCCTGAGTAGCTGGGATTACAGGTATGCAACCACCATGCCTAGCTAATTTTTGTAGAGATGGGGTTTCACCATGTTGGTCAGGTTGGTCTCATACTCCTGACCTCATGATCCACCCGCCTCAGCCTCCCAAAGTGCTGGGATTACAGGTGTGAGCCACTGCACCTAGCCCCTTCATACATTTTATAAGCATATCTTGTTTATTAGGTGATACTGAAAAAAATAACACATCATCTTGAAACACATTTTCATGATCATCAATTTGTACCTTGTGATACTCCATGTATGTTTCATTGAAAAGCATTCTAACCCAACGTTAGCCTTAGCTATTATGTATGCCTGGGTTGTATTCCTCCCCATGACTTTATCTTTCTTATGGCAAAAGGAAGATTTAAGATATTAT